TTCTCTACTGCATCTATTTCACACCCACTTCAAATATCATTACTCATATTACAAACATTACCTCACATTAAATTTGCATGCCTCCCCCCATTTGACTCCACCCATATTTTCCTATTTATTTTTTCTATCCATTCATCTTCCTCCTCTGTGTCTGTGTCTGGTTGTTGCGGTGGTGGTGGTGGTGGTGGTGGTGGTGGAGGTGGAGGTAGCAGACATGGATGCTCCGAAGGAAGCTACAATGGGGTCAAAGGAGCAAACCCAGATCGTCAAAGGAAAAAGAACCAAACGTCAGAGACCACAATCTCCAATCCCTTCCATCTTCCCCACTGACCAAACCCATCATCTTCATCACCTCGCCGGGGAAGAATTACTTTCAGGGTTTGATTATAATTCCGAAAACAACGAGACCCACAACCTGCACTCCCCAAGTTCTTGTTCCAATCACAGCAAGGATCAGGTGGAAGAAGAAGACATGGCCAATTGCTTGATCTTGCTCGCTCAAGGTCAATCCAGAGATAATCATAATAATCACAATAACAAGTCTCCGACCACCGGTGGAGGCGGCGGCGGCGGCGATATATGTAAATTCAATAGCAGGAGATTTCTGGAAACAGCTTCAAATGGAAATGGATCAAAAGCTGGGTACTTTGTCTATGAGTGCAAGACTTGTAATCGTACTTTCCCTTCTTTTCAGGCACTAGGAGGCCATCGAGCCAGTCACAAGAAACCCAAACCCACCACCTTGTATGATCACAAGAAGCAGAATTTATCAGATGAAGAAGAAAATCATGGTCAATTCAGAAACCTTTCTCTTCTTTCTCTGCAACTCAGTAATAATACCCATAACCCTAATAGGTCTAATCAATATAACACCACCACCAACAAAAGTGGGAATAAGGTTCATGAGTGCTCAATTTGTGGTGCCGAGTTCACTTCCGGCCAGGCCTTGGGTGGTCACATGAGACGGCATAGAGGCACCGTGGGTAGCTCCTCCGGCGCCGGCGCCGGCGCCGCCACTGCGTTGTCGTTGACACCAGTCTCCGTCTGTGGCGTTTTGGAATCTGACCATCATCACCAGCGTCATCATCCGGCGAAGAAAGCAAGAACCGCTTTGTCTTTAGATTTGGATCTCAACCTCCCGGCACCGGAAGATGATAATCGGGAACCGGAATTTTCTTTGGGTAATTCAAAGCAACAAGAAAAGCAGCAGAAGTCACCGCTTGTCTTCTCCGCCCCAACTTTGGTGGATTGTCATTACTGAGAAGAGGTCAAAATTCTTTCTTCTTTTTGTTTTTGTTTTTACAGTTTTTTTAACCTTGAAAGGACTTAAATATAATATTACCCAAGAAAAAAAGATGATTAATTTGTTTGGATTATTTATTATTATTATTATTATTATTCTTTACTTATAATTCAAAGTTGAAAAATGTTCTTTTGATTCTTTTCTTTTGCTTCTATATATCCCATAATTGTTTTTCATTGCTTGTCTGTAACATTCATGGACTTTGATAAACTAAGGAAATGTTGAATGTATACATTGATCATGGTCATGAAGAGGAAACCAGTTATAATATGTATATGAAATGTGCATGATACATATATATATGGGCATAATGGGCATATACCCTTTTGTATGTATGTTTCCTTTTCATTCACTATTTCTTGTTTTTCATCTCAAGTTGGGAAAATCTGTTGTCATCTCCCACCATAAGCACATGGTTAATGCCTAATCTTTTCTTCATAATTACAGGACTTCTCTCTCTCTCTCTCTCTCTCTCTCTCTCTCTCTCTCTCTCTCTCTCTCTCTCTCTCTCTCTATGTATATATATTTGTAATGGTGAGAGACAAGTATAATAGAAAAAAAAAAGTGCAGAAAAAGCCAGTAAGCAATAGCACTTGCCATATGAATCCACATCTTGTCCTTTTCTCTTTTTAAACAACAAGAATTCTCTTTTATAAAAAAGTGTTCCTTGTTTTCTTTCTTTGCTTTGCTGGTCCCTTTCCCTACTTCTTTTAAGTTATTTACTTGCCTAATCAATCATCTCTACCCATTTTATCTTTCATAAAAATAATTTTTCATCCTTATAAATTACTTATAATTTAAATATATAACATAATTTATATGTCTATTTACGTTAAATTAAAAATTAATTTTTCAACTTTTAATTTATTACAGATGACAAACTATCATCTAACTCAGTATGTTAAAATTTTGAATCTCGACGTATGTTTGATTCTTGTTACCTTGTCGGGTCATCTTCTTTCTTTGAATTGCGTTACAATATATTGATGTTAATGACTTTTATGGTTTGCACAAGAAATACTTAATTGATCTCTAAGTTCAGTTATTACATCTCTAGAAAGTTAATTTGCAGGGTATTAATTATACTTAATGGTAGCTTACTCACCAATTAACTCCAATGATTTTATAAACCATGAAGTTTTTTTCTTTTGTTTTTCATAGGGTTTGCTTGATTTTGGGTATACACTATAAAATTGATCAATTAATTAGGGTATGAGGTGGTATTAATTATATAGCACAAAGTTTTGGCCAAACATCCAATGAGGATTTTAATTAAAGTCAAGTCTAGCTTTGTAAAAATTAATTAACCTTTAAATATTTTAGTTAAGACATTATTTAACTATTATATAGCAAGAGTCGGTGTATGTATATCTCACATAGATAGTGAGTGTTGAAGCACTTCAATTCTATTTTGTGAGGCACCCGTTGACTCTCCTAAGTTGACCAATTTTGTAATATAGTTTTTTTTTGTGATAATTTGAAATTAATTGTGAGATTAGAGAATCATAATGTTCTATTATTAATTACTATATGAAATTGTGGTGATTTGGGATTGAATTAATTTTTGTTTTGTGCACATGGGGGTCAATTGATTTAAATCTTAGTTTAGTTCGAATTAATACTGATTTTTTAATATAAAAACGATTATACAATAAGAATATTAAAATTGTTTTTAAGTTAAAATGGTTTCCTAATCTTTGTGATTATTTATAATACAAAAGTTCTAATTGATTTTTTTTTTTTTTTGTTTAGATAATTGTTTGTTTGTGACTTCTTTGGGATGGTGTATTAGCCTAGCTAGCACATAAAATTGACTTATGTGTGCACATATATATATATATATATATGCTAGAATATTTTATTTTTGTCTATGTTATAGTTTTTTTTTTCTATTCAATTTAATTTTATTCTTAGTTTTACTTTAAATTAATTTTTGTATTTTAAAAGATATCATTCTCTATTAGTTGATTATTAATATCGTCAGTAACTGATATCACATATCATCAATCTTAATACGTGACATTTTTTATCGACTATATTCTTATGTTAAATACTACGTCAGACACAAAATAATATTTAATATAAAAATTTAAAATATAGATTAATTTGGATAAATTTATAATTTAAAAAAAAAAGATTAAATAATCGGAACTAGTTTAAATTAGTACATATTTTTTTTTACATAACATTTAATGTAAAGAAATAATTAGTAAAAAATATAACGCGTATAAATTAATGATACGTGACATCATATGTTAATAGTATTAATATTAAACTTACATAAAATAATAGATAAATAAATATATATATATATAGGGAAAGAAAAATAGCATATATATATATATGTATGTATGTATATTATATGTGTATAATTGGGATTGGGGCGGAGAATATAAGGGGTTCATGGTATTAATTGGATTCTTACCCATTAATATGCCATGCTATAAGGCAGGCACCATATAATTACATTTTTTAATTATAGGGATTTGGGTCTATATGCATTCTTTTTCTTAATATTGAAAAAGATTTCTGCAATCCCTATGATATGATTTTCATATATGTATATATATATATAATATAATATATATATATACATTATATTATATATATATATATATATAGACTAGCTGAATTCTTTATTTAAGAAGTGCTTTCAATGCTCATCAAAATGGTTTCTTGAAAAACAAGAGATATAGAAATTAACAATATCATTGTTAAATTACAATTTTAAAATTATTTTTTTAAAAAAAACATAATATATAAAAGTTAAAAATAATAGTAGTGCATATATTAATTTTGTAATTAATTTTGAACTTATAGTTACATCATTTTTTTGGTTATGTTTGCTAGAACACTTCCATGCATATATATATATATATATATGTACATATCAGCATCAACCATGAATTAATTATCACATGCAAAGTGACTTTTTCATGAGAAAATACAATCATGTGTTGTCTAATTGTTTAGAAGCATATATATATTTACTATATAAATATTAAATTATTCTATATACTATGTTTTATTTCTTTAGTTTCCATATTTTCGAAAATATTTGTGTACCTAAATATTGAATTAAATTAAATAATGTACTAATTTTAAATATTTGAATTGATTCTTTTATTAATTTTTTAAAAAAGTATCTAAATTAATTTTTACCCATTACATATTATAAGCATTGGAGAAAAATTATTGTAGAGAATGTATATGTATGTGTGTGTGTATATATATATATATATATATATATGAATACTCTGATGGGACAAGAAAAGGGGACCCCAAAAGGACAATTAAGATATCATGAAAAATGTACAAGCAAAACAACGATACCAAAAGTCACACAAAAAAACAAATATGTAATCAACACTCTCATATGCATATTGCTTTATGCACACAACAACGTTACAAAATTTTTAATTATATGTCACCACCTAAGTGTTTTGCCCTAATTCAATCTCAATATTCTCTCCAAACATATATATATGTATATATATAGCTATTTCCGAGTTTTTTCATAATTTTTTATAGTTTTAAATATGAACATTTGAAGTTAGAATTATATACATATATCTTTACATGCATAACTTTGTCAATTATCAATTTGCTAATTATAAAATTTCATGTTTTACATTATATTGATATTTCATTTTTACGTCTTTTTTCGAATATATTCTTCGTGTTGGTTTTTTTTAAAGAATTAAGATCAATTGTATTATTATAAATTTTTGTTTTTCAACAAAAAAGTTCGGATCGGATCGGTCCATCGTCGGATTACAACCGGACTCATAATACCAATAATTTTATCGACCGGCTTGGATACCCTTTTGGACTCTCTTCATGAAATGGCTAATATTTTTTTAGTGTGTATATTTTTCACTAATTCATTAATTTAAAATTTATAAATAAAAATATAATATTGATTCATTTTTTAATAATTTTATATTTGTTACAAACTATATTAAAGTTAATGTATAATTTAACTTTATGAAATGAAAAATATGAACAATCCAAAAGCCCTCTCTAACCAATATAGGCCCAACCCAATCAAGCACAAGCCCAATACTATCCTTTAACTCACTAATAGAGGCCCAAAAGTTAGAGCCCACAACACAAAAAGCCCAACACTATTTTGGCTCACTTATACAGGCCCAAAAAGCTAAAGCCCAACAAGTCATAAAAAGCCCAATACTATCCTTCAGCTCACTTCTACAAGCCCAACACTATCATTTACCTAATTCTACAGGCCCAACAGGTTAAAGCCCTAAACCCAGAAAAAGCCCAACACTATCCTTTACATTATTTCTACAGGCCAACAGGTAAAAGCCCCAAAACCAGAAAAAGCCCAACAATAACCTTTATCTCACTTCTATGTGCCCAATAGGTTAAAGCCCAAAACCCATAAAAGCCCAACACTGTCCTTTACCTTATTTCTACAGGCCCAACAGATAAAAGCCTAAAACCCAGTAAAAGCCCAATACTAACCTTTACCTCACTTCTATGAGCCCAATAGGTTAAAGCCCAACACTAACGTTTAACTCACTTCTATGGACCCAAAGGTTAAAGCCCAAAACCCAGAAAAGCCCAACATACCTCCAATTATTTCTACAGGCCCAACAAGTAAAAAGCCCAAAACCCAGAAAAAGCCCAATACTAACCTTTACCTCACATATATAGGCCCAACAGGTTAAGGCCTAAAACCCAGAAAAAGCCCAACACTATCCTTTACTTCATTTCTACAGGCCCAACAGGTTAAAGCCCAACAACCCAGAAAAAGCCCAAGCCCCATCCCCAAAATTATTGACCCATTCACCCAGCCGAAAACAGTACTGATCACCCCCCACAAACTTCTTCTGCATTCTCACCCGAAGAAGACCCACCGATCCCTACAGCATCTGCAAATCCCCTCTTTTTCCTCTGATAAAGTGAGCTCGGAAAAGCATGTTCAGGTTACGGATGAAACAAAGGAAGCTGATAAAACCCCTAACTTGGTGGGTATGGACAAACGAAAATCAGAGGACTGGAAATGCAGAGCAGAGGGTATTTTAGCGAACGAAATACTTGCTGGTAGTGTTGTCCAACAATGGAGTAGATAGGGAAAAGCAACACTACAGTAACTTGAAATCATCTCGAGTTAGAACCAAAATGAGAACCCCTTGAAAAAAATCATTGGTTGTAGTAATTCACTACAGCAACGGGCAAGGGAGGTGGTGGGAAGTGCCAAAAGAAAATCGCAGATTTAAAACATGAGATCGATAAGTTACAATGTAACACTGTGTTGGATAATAATCTGGATATACTAAAATAGAAGGAAAGAGAACATGAATGGATTTATAAGTGCGAAGAGATGCTCCGGACCCAGGAGTCAAGAATTGACTGGTTGAAATGGGGAGGACAAGAACACGAAGTTTAATATTTTGCAAAGTGATAAGAACGAAATTGCAAGTCATTAATGAAATTTGTGAGTTCCTATGCCGCTGCAACTCACATTTATTTGTTGTTGCAAGAGGATTCACAACGAGTTGTTAACATTCTCCAGTCATATTCTTCTTTTATTTCTGAAATTAGATTTACTTGCTGATGATTGTAATTTGCTTAATCTTTCTTCTCTGTATTTTTTGATGTTTTCTCGACTACTCGGGATAATAGAGTAGTAGCTCATGTAATTAGCAAAACGAACTCTGTGCAATCCGGTGGGAAATTACTATACTTTTGAGCCTCCTGTTTTCTTGATTCCATTACTGTTGCAGAATGTTTTTTTCCCTGCAACTAATGCTTGATTTCAAGTGTTTTTCTCAAAAAGAAAAAATCCTTAAACATCACTGAGATAAATGTCTTTCAATCACCAAAATCCTGGCAAGGAAACTACAGGGGTAGGTGCAGAAATTGGGGTATTACTCTCACCAAATATTCCTGCAAAATGCCAAAACCAAGATTAAATTCATTTCAAGCATGAAGGATGAATAAGAAAGATTGATCAATTATCACAAGAAAAAAATTTAGATAGAGTTAGCTCGACAAATATACAAATTATTATAGATCACCGTACTTGATCGATATGGGATTAAATCCCTCAAATTTTAGACCCAATTAATCACTGAATACAAGTATAATGGGAGGAAGGTTGAACTTTTTTACCACAGAGAAGTAGGTTTTCTGGTGGAGGCTTCTCCTTGGCAGGGTTAGGATCAGCATTATGAACTCTTATATACAGCTCCTGACCCAAGTACCAGTTTCTCAAGTGTTGTGACCTCAAGTTCCACATTCCAGGATTGTCCAGGAATACATAAACTGCACTCCATCCTCCTGGGTAAACTTGGACTGTTGATCGGACTACCGGGTCGAAGAGATTGTAATCGTTGCGCGATCCAGGCATCCATTCTCCATTACCATACCTAATTATTAAAAATGCAAACTTTACAATCTTTTAAAAAATAATCATGACGTTTATAGCTTCAAAGAAATTGTTCAATCAATTATATAAATGGGTTAAAAAGGAATGACATTTACCCAACTAGGTGGAAGCCGAAACCATCTAAGTGCCAAGAATCCATTGTGTGTAAATTGTTTTGGAACACAATTTCTAACCAGCTTTTGTGAATCCCGGTAACGATAGAAACTCCAAAAGCAGCTTCAGCGTTGACAGAACGAGTTGGAAACCAATCGAGAACATATACACCAGACCCATTAACAAAATGATCAGCAATCTTCAAAGGTGTATTTACGTTGTAATACGAAACATTATTGACAGCATAACGCGGTTTGCCTCCTATCTCAGCCTTTGAGGCCTGCAGAATGAAGGTCTGAGACACGGTCACATTTGTTATGTTGAAGGTTCCTTGTGGGTTAGGCCTTGCAGCTCCTGCTGTCAGGTTCCACCTAATCAGAAACAAAGTTTGGCTTATATTAGATTATAAGCAATGAAGGATGATAATATCAAAATATATCAAAATACAATGTGTTGATGATCATAATTAGTTATATAACCTGCATGTTTAAAGAAAATCTAATGAAAGCCTGGTCTGCAGAAATGATTAGAACTCATTTACCTGATAGATTTAGCTTGACTGAGTGAGAAATCAATGTCAAAGGGATCTGGTCCACTTGAGAAAGGTTCTAAAGGCTTTGTATAATTGCAACCAGCATAGTGTAGAAGTCCCACGCCGACAAGACCCGGAAGAGCAGCATTGTTCAACAATTTAGGACTCGCGACAATGTAATAAGCAGTTTCGTTTGCATCAGCCGGGACAAGAACTGAGTAGGACTGGCCAACATGGACATCGAGAGAATCCAGAGTGATCTGGTTGGTGTAAGAGCCTTCTGTTTCCACCAATATCATTTTGTGATTCTGAATCCTAAAATTGAAACTAAGTGAAGTCCCTACGTTCGATATCCTAAACCTGTAAGTCTTCCCTGCAGATCATACAAGGAGAAGTCGGTAAATATATGCAGTTCAGTTTTTGCAGGACACCCAAGTGATGATTATCAGGCAAAGAAACAAGTTTGTGTATGTTCAAGACTTTCATTACCACTCTATGAAACTAAGGTTTTGAAGTGGCCATATGGGATTCAAGGGATAGTTAAAGCTTCATCAAGCAAACATCTTGCTCGAACCTCGAATTACATACGTACCTTTTGTGACATTGAAGGTCTCGTAGGATTGTGACATGGGGTGTCCATAAGGACCTTTGCCATTCATCAGAAAAACATTTGGGATAACCCCATATGCTCCAAATTTTTCATCAGTCATTGATTTCAATTCCTGTTACAATCACACACCAGAATAAAGAATTAACACATGTATATCATCAAATTAGGATTAGCAGAACAAGAATCACTATACTTCTCATATACTGATCGTTATAAATTAATCTCAACCATCATCCTTTACCTTATAGCTGCCATAAAACCAA